AGTCTACTGCATCTAAGTAGAATTATATAGTATTTTCCTTTTGTGTCTGGCTTGTTTCAATTAGCATGTTTTTAAGGTTTATCTGTATTTGGAATGTAGGGCTTCATCTTGGAATCATGGCTTCATTTCTTTTTTATGATGAGTATTTCACCATGCATGTATTTCATGTTTGTTTATTCATGTGACAGAAGATGGGTGTTTCCACCTTTGGCTATTGTGAATAATGTTGCTATTGGTGCACAAGTGTCTGAGGGTCTGTTTTCAATTCTAGTGTGTGGAATTGCTGCATCATGTGGAGATCCTATGCTTAAGCCTTTGTGGGAGCCACCAGACTCAAAGCAGCTGCACCATTTTTTAGCATTCACTTGGTCAGCCTTACCAGTGCAGCTCCCTGACTTCCTACCACCTAGGGTTTAACAGGTGCCTCTTCTTATCCCTTCACATTCTTGTCCTGCATCCCTCTATTTTCGATGTGTCTCCTTTGTTGCCATAATTACCAATGGATTTAGTTCTATTTTCCAAATTCCATTTTCCCTCTATCCCTTTCAAAACTAGATCCTCTTTTATTTGTAACAAAATTTTCAGCATGCAGGGCTGGGGAAATGGCTCTAAGGAAGTCTCAGTAACATAAGCCCTCAGCAGGAGGCTTTTCAGAACACACAGGTTGGAAAACTAGGTGGAAGGTCTCATGGGAGGCTTCTCCCTTCCTGTGGTACTGAGGGCTGCATCTTCCTTCTCTCGGTGGGCTTCATCTGTAGTCCAATTAAAGAGAGACCTCACTGATGCTCCTCCTGGAACAGCTACCAGCTTCTGTACGTGTGCTTTTTTTTCTTAACAACTCAGCTAACTGAAGTTTTGGTGGGTTTTTTTGTTGTTGTTTTTAAATCCAGCCTAGGTTTTCTGAGCAGGAAGTTCCTGGGGCTCCCTGCCCACCTGTCCTTTCCTACAAACAAGCTTAAGTTTATGCACAATGAGCAGGCCTAAGGTGCACCAACCTTCTTAGCCACCTGGTGCTGGGTGACAGTAAAGAGATGCAAAGTGGGAAATGAAGATAAAATGTCAAACATTTATTTATTTATTTATTTATTTATTTATTTATTTATTTATTTATGCATTGCACTTAACCTACATGCAGGCAATACATGGGTACACATAAAATAAAAATAATAAATTTATTTATTTATTTATTTAGTCTTTTTTGAGACAGGGTCTCCCTGTAGCACCAGCTGGCCTTGAACTCAAGAGATATGCCAGCCTCTGCCTCCCAAGTGAGTGCTGGGATTAAAAGTGTGCAGCCACCACCCAGCTATACATAAAATCTTAACAGTTGAAAAATGAGGAACTCAGTAGCAATGTGCAATTCTCTGTTCTTACTTGAGGCTAGCTCTCTTAACGCTGGAAGGTGCTGTGCAGGCATTTGGGGAACACTGTCACCAGCAGCCCTACTCAGCTGTGAACCATGTGTGCAACAATATTGACCTTCCAAACCAGGATGCCCACTGGTTCAACAGTGGCAGGTCTGTTTGTTGAAGGTAATGAAAAGCTTTTTCAGTGAATTGGGTGAGACCCATTCCAGTGGGGAATTCACATCTGGTACTGTAAACCCACTCAAAAGCCCATGGTTCAGCAGTGAAGAGCACTGGCTGCTCTTGCATAGGGTCCTGGGTTCAGTTCCCAGCACCCACATGGCAGCTAACAGCCATCAGTAACTCCAGTTCCAAGGGATCCAACACCCTCTCCTGGCCTCTGTGGGCATTGCATGCATGTGGTACACTTAATTACATACTCATACACGTACTTTTTCTTTAAAGCCCATGGCTGGGAGGTCCTAGGCCCCCCTGTGAGGCATGGAAGGAAGAGGGGCTCAGAGCAGTGTACACCTAAGGATTTATATGTAGTAACTGTGAGGCAGTTACTGTTGTTTTGCTAAGTGGACGTGATGTGTCGTCAAACTGCCTTCTAAATAGCTATGTTTACACCCACAAATTAGTGTTGCTGTCAGATTTGGTCAGAGCAGCTTCTTTTTGCAGTGGTCAGCAGTAAATGCAGACTCATACCTGCATGACTGTTGAAGGTCCTGCCCTAAATAGGACAGCTGTATCACCCACTTGAAGGGTCAGGGAACATCACAGAAGAATGGTAAAAAGAGCCTAAGAACTGGCGAAAGGGGGAGTGGTTGGAACACTGACTTCTGAGTGACATGGCTGTTGCACAACTCAGCCTGTCAACATCCTGTCATGGAAGGAAGAGGGGCTCACAGCACCGTCCGCCTCCCTAAGGATTTATATGTAGTTAATGGTTGTTGGAGGAGGGAAACATTTTTGCCAGTGGTATAGCCACTGTTAAGGTACCCATGTTCCTGTCAACTTCACTCATGCATCTGTAGGCAACCATAATGAAGCTCATCGGGTAAAAAAAAGACATGAAAGTAGAAGGGGGGATAGCTGGAAAAGGGATCAGCAGGAATCGGAAAGGGGAGCTGGAGAGATGGCTCACAAACTAAGAGCATTTGCTGCTCCAAAGAACCCAAGTTCTGTCCCTATTTCCCACAACAGGTAGCTCACAATCATCTCTAATTCCAGCTCCAGGAAGTCTGACCCCTCTTCTGACCTTTGTGGGCACCTGCACACACGTGGCATACACTCAGACACACACATATATACATAACAAATTTCTAAAAAAAAGATCCCATGGCTACACAACAGCTGTTATTTTTGTTAATGTTTGAATTCCATGATATAACTTGTGACTTTGGTTACTAAATTGCTAGACCCTTTTTTCCCTTAAATATCCAATGCCCTGGAGCTGGAGTTATAGGTGAATGTGTGCTGCCTGCCTGTTGTAGGTGCTGGTAATCAAACACAGGTCAATTTGCAAGAGAAGTACATGCTCTTAACAGGGGATTAACATGATCTTTTCCATTTTACTCAAACATAAAGAGGCAGACTGACAAGTGGGAATAATAATTCTATCCAGGAACAACTTTTTGAATTGTTTAAAAGCTTCATTTTTTATTATGTATTTCCAATTACACATCCATACTTCATATTCAAAATCTCCTGAAATAGTAAGAACATACAGCTCCACCTAAGAATTCTGAGAAAATACCTAATGAACTTTGAAACCTGAGTCAATGAGTCACTGTAATACGGAGTTCATGAACATGCCTTTCAGCCTTGGAAATACTCCATTGTGAACTCACCTGCTGCACATGCACTTGCTAGATGCCGCCAGCTAGGTAGGCAACTCAGCCTGTTAACCATCATCAGTTTCTATTTCCAGCACATTCATTAAGTTGGTAACTAAAAGAAACAAGGCACACTAACTTCAAACTAGTGAGGAAACTCCACCTTTGTCGCTCTCCTCATCTGGAGCAGCTGAAGTGTTCTCGATGCCACCCAAGGGAAAGCCGTTCCTGTACGTTTTAGGGCTTCTCAGCCTTCAGTAAAACACCCACCAACAGGCAATTGAGAATATAAAGAAACTGAGTTTTACATCAAAAATTTGGTGGGGGCAATGGGGGTATGTGATCTTTTGTGGCAGAGACAGTACAAGAGTTGGGGGGGGCAAGGCCAGAGGCTGGGCTGTACAGCCTGACTGCAGCATCTACTCCTCCACAGTACCTAGGCTCCAGCTGCTGCCAGCAGGTCTGGAGAAGCCTCAGCACCACCCTGCTGTTTCTAGAAGCTCTGTAAAGGGCATCTTGTCTGCAACAAACTGAGAGCTAGGTCAGGGATAAAAGAATACTAACTCCACACATCCTAGTCTCACAGTATCAATGCATTTCAAGTTTCTCAACACTGTGTGTCTTGGAAATCTGCTAACAAGGTATTGTAAAACAAGTAAGGGGCTATGAATAGTGTATTTATGGAATGGGACATTTTATCTTATCTAAAACGACAGGAAAGCTGCTGTAGACACATGTGGCTCTGGATGTTGGTACAATCATTTATTTTTTAAAAGTTAAAAAAAAAGCAAAAGTAACAAACCACCGGAAATATTTACATTCTTAAGATGGTACCACTTTTAAATAAAAGCATATGCATGTATGTGCTTCCAATACTGGTAAATTCTTCAAAATGAAGTATTCAGGGTTGGGGCTGTAGTTTAGCGGTAGAGTGCTTGCCTATCATGTACGAGGCCCTGGGTTCAATCCCAAACCCTGACAAAGAAGGAAAAAAATTTACTCAGCAAGTTTTCGGTAATTTATTCACAGTTCTGGTTTTGTCACTGGACTTAACAGGACATGAGATGAAATGACCAACTGGCTCAGAAAACTAAACATTCGTTTCAAAGAATACAAAACTCAAAAAGAGCAATGATGATTTTAAAATCCCCCCAGTCCCACAGGAAGTATAATTAAAACAAATATCAAAATCTTATTTATGCAAAAACACATTCAACCAGAGAACATTCAAAATGTGAACAGGATCATTTCTATATCCACTCTGGAAACTGGTACAGAAAACAAAGTAACTGGTAACTTCCTAAGATGTCCTCATCAGCCTTTACGGTGCATTCTACAGCATGTCAATATCAGGTCAGTGCTAGACTTACAGTTAATATGGTAAAACTGCAGAACTATGGACATTACTGTTCCAAGCCAGTGTTGTCAGTTTTATTATTCATGAAGTTATGGAGATACCAAAATATTTATTAACAATCTTTAACTACAGCGGGAAAAACTGATTTATAGGTTTAAGCTTTTAAACAGGAGACTAAACAAAATAATGTGAAATCTGTCTTCATGGTTAAAACACTGCCTGGTATTCCTGCACAAAAAAAGTGTCATAAAGCAAAGTGTCTTTGCCACTCCCTTCTATTTCTTTGGCCTTCCCAAATTCAATGTGAATTATGAATTCTGTGTCAATAAATACTTTCCAATGACATTG